TTTTAACTTTTTGTAATAATTCTTTTTGCAAATTAAAAATAAAGATAAATTCATTTATCAATATAAATTTAGTATCATAATGTTAAATAATTAAATATTTTTCACTTGAATAAAGAAATGGCACTGGTCGCGTTTTTTTTTAAGGAAAACGCTCCAGAAGTGAAATCCTTCAAGAAAAACGCTCCGGAAGTAAAATCCTTCAAGGAAATCGCTCCAGAAGTGAAATTCTTCAAGGAAATCGTTCTGGAAGCGAAATCCTTTAAGGAAAATGCTCTGGAAGTGAAATCCTTCAAGGAAATCGCTCTGGAAGCAAAATCCTTCAAGGAAATCGCTCTGGAAGTGAAATTCTTCAAGGAAATCGCTCTGAAAGCGAAATTCTTCAAGGAAATCGCTCTGAAAGCGAAATCCTTCAAGGAAATTGCTCCAGAAGCGAAATCCTTCAAGGAAATTGCTCCAGAAGCGAAATCCTTCAAGGAAATCGCTCCAGAAGTGAAATCCTTTATGGAAAATGATCTGGAAATGAAATCCTTTATGGAAAACGCTCCAGAAGCGAATCCTTCAAGGAAATCACTCTGGAAATGAAATCCTTCAAGGAAATCGCTCTGGAAGCGAATTCTTTTAAAGAAAATGCTCCGAAAGTGAATTCCTTAATGGAAAACGCTTCAGAAATGTTCCTCTCAAAGGAAATCATTCTGGGAACGCATCTCTTTATGAGAAACATTTCTCTCGACAGTTTTTCATTTCTAAATATAAATGCAAGCCGAACGAGCCAGCTTGCAAGCCGGCTTAGTTTGGCTTGGCTTGTCAATTGATCTTCACGATCCGAGCTGAGCCGAGCTAAAAAAAAAGTGGCTCGGCTTGAGCCAGTGGCAATCCAAGCCAAGCTGGCTTATGCGGAGCTTTATAATTGACCAATAAATTCCACGTATTATATAGCACAATTAAGAAGAAATTCAGAAATTAAGTATTTCTACATTTTTACACGATTCTACTTTTTAGACGTCTTTTAAAAAACGTGGTATTTTTACACAACCACTGCAACATGAGTGCTCACCTTTTGCCAGTTTAGTAATATTCAAGTTATCACATTTAATACAATATAGTGTGATGCAGTCAGAAACGATCACAATTTATGAATATAACGTGTAAATTTAAAAAACCGATTCTTATGTTAACATTTATTTCATTGATTAACATCATTTATCTAAAATTCTACTTCCTTTATAAAATCCGATACATTTTTAATACTAGAAAGCTCACAACTTTTGGCATTATTTAAAGTAAAAAAAAAATCAAATGAACTTGGTACAAAAAATTTTTTTTAATTATTATTCCTTTAAAAATCAAACTATTTGAATCACTGTGATTTTTGCATTAAGAAAATAAAAAACTATTTACAGAAATTTTTTTTTTAAAAAAAAATTTATAAAAAGGTAATTTTTTTGCTTTTAACAATCGAAACGCATTGAGTTTGAGGTAATTTCAATTATAATATTTACAATTCATTAGTTAATTGCGATATTTAAAGTGTGATTCTTATATATTCAATTTGGCAAATTTATCTTTCGATGTCAATGGCCACAATCAATTTTCAACTTGTTCCAAAGAAGGAAATCCTTTTCTTCCTTCCTTTAATTCTTTAATCATTTGTTGATATGCTGTTGAGATTGTAACATAATTTCTTTTAAATTTATTAAGCAATTCGTGTCTAAATATGATACAATTATTGTTGTTAAAATGCCAAATTTATCTCTTTTATAAAAGATAATTTCAAAATCATACTTGTTTCTAAACTGTGTTTCTAATCCTTGAGTCAAGCTAGTCTCATTTTGAACAATTATTTTTCGTGTAACCTGAAATAAAGCTACGTCCTGTCTACGAAGATGTCTAAAAATTGTCTAATTTAAATGTTTAATGGGATTAATAAACTTATAAATAAAATAAATATATATCAATATTGTTTATTTTTACCTCGCCAATGCATTGCAATAATCTTTTAATTTCCTCATCTAATTTTTCTTGCGCGTATTTGCCTGACTTGTCAATTTTACATTCTGTATCGATTGGAGTAACGTCGCTATCGTCAATGATATCAACGTCTTCTAGAGAGGGTTGTATAGTTATTTCGTTATTGCTACTAATTGGTGAAATGTTTCTTGTATGCAGAATATATCGATCTATTATAATGACGATTTTTAATTTAAGTATCAACCACAAGGAATTTGCCCGTTTTTTATAAACGCTAAATAAGATAAAGAAAATATAATTAATAAAAAGCTTCGAATTAAACTAACCTGAACGTTTTTTAATATCTTCGTCATCACTATCTAAAGCTTTTGAACATTCTTTAAATCTTTCAACGAATGAAACTATTATCATTATTGATAATGATATACTTAATATTGTAATTCACATTGAATAAGACAAGAAATTAATTTAAATAAATTATAAACCTCGTTTTTTTTCATTATTAGATTTTGGAATCGACAGGTTCTTTTCTGCTAATTCCCGGAAAATTTCTATCGCTGTAATTTTTTGAGCGAATCTGTAGATAATATCAATATAAATGAATATTTTTTAAATATGCTTACGAAATTGAGCTCTCATCCGTTCAATAACCTCGTCTTCAGCGTTATATTCAGCCGAAGTTGGATTCCAAAATTCTTCTTCACTTTTAATTGGAATTTCGTCTTTATTGATCTTTCAAAACAAAAGTTATCGTTAAAAAATATTGAAATCATAAAATTGAATTTTGAGTATTACCTTTAACTGCCTTTTATGAAGTTTGTTCTTTTTCATTATGTTACTGAATTTGGGATTTTCTAGTTCATCCTCGCTTGAATCTTGTACATCTATTTTCCTTTTTCTATATTCAATGTCTCTAATATTTTCATTAGTTGTTAAATTTGAGCCTTTGTGTAAACGAGTCGTCTGTCCAACTACGTTCTTTTGATTTGCGTTATATATATAAGTTTTAGCATTTATATTCTTGGTTGTATTGTTGTTTTGTTCAATTATTATAATATCATCAGAAACTTCTTGTTCTTCATTGGTAGCATCAAGATTCCGAAAGAAATGTAATGTGTTTCTTTTTGAAAGCTTGGCTTGTGAAATTTGATGCTCTATTTTAAATAGGTACCGTTTATTTTAAAAATGTATTTTAATCCTTTTACTATGCCATTTTGTATGCTACAATATTTTTCTTACTTCAAATTATCTTACCTTCCTCAGCCACACTATTGGATATTGTATCTTCTCCTATTTCTTCGTTTACACTATATCCCTTGTATGTTCTTTGTTTTTTTGAAACAGATAAATGTAATGGCTTTGATCGTTTTTTCGGTGGTTGAAAAACGTTCAGACGTTTGACGTTATCAATTTTAAGTATTTGCATCAATGATTGATGATTCATAGTAGGTGAATTGCTTTGAGAACCATTGGAATTCGACGAATTTGATAGAGAGAGCGCAGTAGATGAAGTAATAATTCTGCTTTCAAAATGTTGACTTTTGTTTTTTTCTGGAGAAAGTTCAGTATTGTATGCAGCAATATAACTTTGAGAATTCGTGTTCACTGATTTATCGATTTTTTCAAGTTCTGATGATTTTGAAAGGGCATCATGTGCAGCTGCGGTATTATTTGAAGAGGGTTTTGGTTGTAAACTTCCTACAGACTGCGTCTTTTTTTTCTGTTTGTAGCACAATAAGTAATCTTGAATCTAAAAAAAAACACGAGAATAAAATAAACTTACTACGCGGCGATCGGTTAATATCATTTCCAGAGTGTTCCGAACGTCATTGTCGAATTTTATGAAAATTGTATTCTCTCTATTAGATATGGAGCTATTTTTTTGTATATTAAATGCGCCTTGATAATTAAGATTTAAAGGCTCGGTAAGATAGAATATAAGGATTTGATCTGCAATATTCATAATTACAAATTCGTGAATGCCCTGTTAAATATTGTGAAAAGACGCGTTTTTAAAACTTGCCTGTTTGAAGATCCCATGTTGACATTTCAGAATATTTGATTTCTAACACATCATTCTCTACAGAATCATTAACCTATAATAATTTTAATTTGTATGTCTAGTATATAAAAAAAGAAAATGGACAACACGAGAGAATTTATTTAAATAACCTCCATCGATCTTATTGTAGTAGATATTGTCCATTTGTTGAAATCGACGAAGAAACGATCTTGTCCTTCCGGGCAATATAATTCAAATTTATTGTATTTTATTTGTGATACCACAATCGTTTTTGGCCTATAAAAAAAAAAAGTTTAGAACATATTTCATTTGTAAATTATACCATTATTTTTGTTAGACACACACGTTTTAAATATGCCATCATTTGAATCATTGAGCGAATTCAAGAAGTTTCGACTATCCTTAATTTTTATAATAAGCAAGAGGCAAAGGATTCGTTAAATTTTTGTTAGCTTTAACATCTTAATTTGACTCAAATTTTTTAGTTTTTACCCTGAGAAAATCATTGGCAGCTATTGCCAAGAATTTTTGAATCATATCCTCGTGGATTACAAATGCTCTGCTTGCAAAGGTTTCACGATCATCTTGCATCCTAGGGCAAAGCCTAAATAGTATCTCGAGATGGCGAAGTTGAAGCTCATAATCTTATGTCAGAAAAAAAGATAAAATTACTTATCAATTCATTTCAGAGTATGAGACAACGCATAATAATACCGGATGCAGATATCATCGAATAGGCAAGTTTCGAACTAATAAGGTTAAGATTCAATAACTATTTCTAAATCAAAATATCGCGTGGTTTTTTTTTTTATATAGCAAAGGATACACATCAAAAAATTTTTCTTGGCTTAACAATTTTTTATTCTCTTTGCATCCAGTTAATAGAGAATTTATAACATCTGCACTCTAGAAAATTCAAAATATATTATCACATGATTTCGATTGTAATTATTTTCAGATGTCCCTTACCGTTCTTCGTAAGTCAACTGATAATGAAGAATTTAATAATATTTCTGAGAGAAGTTTTAGACAGAGTTTTCCCATCATTACTTGGTCTTTTTTTTTTTTTTTAAAAAAAAAAAACAATAATTAATTAATTATTCAATGGAAATAATAAATTTGACCGACCCATTACCTATGTCATCTTGCTGAACAAAAATCTAATAATAATAATAAATTCATTTAATCAATTATATTAATTTATTATTGTAGTTACTAAAGGATCAAAACATTCACCTCGATTAATGATAACGAATCAACTACAATTTTTTCCCAATCATTGTCTTTTCCGCTTAAATCCAACTTTAAGATAATCATTACAATAAAATTTAAACAATCTGTTGCTTTTGTAATGACATTTACATCTTTGTATTTATTAAAAACATTTTCGAGTGAGATAATTGCTTGCTGAAAAACGTCCGGATTCGTATTATAAAAGTAATGAGGCCTCGAGTGCTGGGTAAAGAATAATTTGGTCACTCATTATCCATTAATTTAATGATACTTTCAAATCTTTACCTCATCCTTTAGTATTTTGTGAATCTTTTGAAGTATTTTTTGCAATCTGCATAGGATCAGTTTTCCTTTAAAAGGTAAAACCAAACAAGTGAATAAAATTAAATAAAAATCGTATTTTCTTACTCTTTCGAGGTATTTCGAGGTCTACCACGTTTTTTTCTTTCACTTTCCGGGAATAACTTGGAATTTGCACTATTGAGTTCATAGAACGCAAATTTTAAAGGATGAGTCATTGTCTTTATTATCAAAAGAGAATCACGAATATGGAATGAATTGAGAATTAAAAATTAATTTATATAACTCGCGAAAAAAAGTTTATAGAAAGTTAAATCAAGTTTTAACTTTTTGCTTGAAGTGACAAATCACGGAGTCACTTAATAAATTTATAAATTACAGTATTCGACGCGATTTTAATGTGACGAATCGCATTATGCTTTTTATTTATATATAAATAAATATAAAAGAAAATTTACAGAGAAAAAAGAAAACGACAAGATAAAATGCAATATAACAATCGATCAATGAAAGATAGAGATATCAATGAGCGAAGGAGGTGGATTCCTTAAGTATTAAAGCTTGTTGACCTTATCTGTAAATGAGATTCGAACGAATTTATTACAGACAACGTGCAATAGTTAAATTATGAAAACATAATCAAGATCAAACTTTAATAATAAGAAATAAAATTACTAACGTTCTGGCCAGTTATATTCTTGAGTAGATCTTTTGAACCCATATTTAGACGTAAACTCTTCAACGCTCGCTGGACCACGTGAACCATATGCATATGGTTGAGGAACAATTTTATCATGATCAATTTTGTGTAAAATCGGGGTGAAAATCTTCCAAGCGGCATCCAATTCATCATCCCTCACAAAATTAGAATGGTCGCCTTTTAACACATCAAGAATCAGTGCTTCATACGCGTCAGGAATCTTAAAGTCCGAAAATCTTCGGTTGTATGTGAGATCCAATTCAGAGATTACTGTGTCCATGGAAAGACCCGGTAATTTACTTGTCATTTTCATATAAACAGCTTCGTTGGGTTGCACGCGAATAACTAATTCATTACGAGGTGAATCTTTGAAAACGTTTCCGGGTAAATCTTGGAATTGAACACGAATTTCCGCTTTTTGTTCATTTAAAGCTAAAAATTAGATATATGAATTAGTTAATGCATTCTAATGGTAATTAAATTATTTAAAAAAATTAGCATGACACTTACCTTTTCCACATTTTAAGATAAAAGGGACACCTTCCCAACGTTCATTATTTATCCATAGCGTACATGCTGCAAAAGTAGGACATGTACTACCGTCGGGGACCGTGCTATCCTCCAGGTACCCAGGTTTTTCGCCATCTTCTGATTTTGTGTATTGTCCAAGAAGTGTGTCTTCAAGTTTCACAGGAGGAATACAACGTAACACGCGGACCTATTTTCAAGTCAAACGAAAAAGTAATTAACTTATTAGCTCAAAGATTAATAAATAAATATATATATATATATATATATATATATATTGTAATTATCCACCTTTTCGTCACGAATGTCTTCAGAGCTTAATGATACAGGTCGTTCCATGCCGACAATGCTTAGTATTTGCAAGAGATCTATAAATCAATTATATATTTTAAAATAAACACGTCGTCGCATAAAATCGACAAACTCTCATATAAAACCACCCAATGGCACGGTGAAAAATTAATCGCTTTTCATATCATAAATTAAAATCATGATCATCTTTTGCTATTCTGCAGTAAATAAACTTTAAAAAGTTTATTTGGTCAAACATCACGTGAGATGCGAAATTTTCACGGAACCTCTGGGTTAGTTTTAACTTAATTACGCACGGTTTTGCATCACATCGCGGATGATGCCGAATTCATCAAAGTAACCGCCTCGACCTTCAGTTCCAATCTTTTCTTTGAAAGTAATTTGGACGTTGGCAATACTTTGACGATTCCAGATCGCCCCAAAAACAACATTAGCGAAACGAATGATCAAGAGATTTTTAACCATCTCTTTACCAAGGTAATGATCAATACGATATGTCTGTTACGTGAATGGGGTCAGATTTAGTTATTCCAGCATGCGTAAAAAATAAATAAATAAATAAAATAGAATTACCTCCTCTTCTTTCCATAAAGGAGCTAAAGCTTTACCTAACTCACGAGAACTATCCAAATCCATACCAAAAGGTTTCTCAACAATTAAACGATTAATCCCTTTTGCAGAATAAACATTTTTCTTAAGGCCTTTTGCTACAGGAATAAACACGCTAGGAGGCAATGCCATATAGAAAATACGATTTTTTTCTTGATGTTTATCACATCGTTCGACTTCCTCAACAGCTTTATTCAACTTTTGATAATCTTCATCCTTATCATATTGACCAAAGACATAAGTACATTGCTTTAGAAATTCAGAGAGCTGATTTTTAATATCGTCGGTTGGAGTTTTCATATATCCGGAAATACGTTCGTGGAATTTTGATTGATCAAGTTTCGTTCTGGCATAACCGATGATAGAAGTGCCTTCCGGGAAGAATCCATTGCGATAAAGACCAAACAATGCTGGATAAGTTTTCTTTTTCGCAAGATCTCCCGAAGCACCAAGTACTGATATAAACGCATATATAAGTTAGCTATTAATATATGGTTTATTATTCTTGTACCACAATCACGGCTTGAATAATATTAAATCATTATTCTAGCATTCGGGTATAAATTTTTTATTTTAGGTATAAGAATCTTTATCCCATAACCGCAGTATTCTTATTAAGTCATATGATCATACTATTTAAAAATAAAACTCACCAATAATTGTAGTAGTACCACTTAATTTACTATCAGTCATCACTTTAAAATATATGATTGAATTGGGAAGGAAGAATTGCTCAAAATTTTCGATGGGTATTTATAAGTTAATGGAATTTCAAAAATTTCTCACGCTGTTTTAGTAACAATCATTTAATAATCATTTCCGTGTTTCATAACTTGTAACTGTTTCGTATATAGAAATTTAATTAAAATAAATATAGTAAATTAAACCAAATTAATAACGATAAAAGTTTTTTATGAGTGCGAATTTTTTTTCTACAATTGTAAATATTATTTGTAATCGTTGTCTAAAAATGGTTTACAATTTAGATCTTTTGATGAATTAATCACGTGAAGTTTAATGGCTGCGGATAAAAAGTCCAATTCTATCAATTTATGTTGTTCATAATGGAACATCTAAATTAAGTAATTTAACGGGATATCAGAATGCTTTGTTAGTTTTTCTTTTCAAGTTCGTCTAATTTTAATTTATGATAGTTCCAACTTTCTTCTATTCCATTTATTCAATGTTGTTTTCAAATCCAATTTCCGTGATTTTTGTTACTAATATTCTTGAATACCTTTTAAGTTAAATTGATTATTGGATTTAAAACTATTTGTATATCTATCATATAATAAAATGTTCTTTTATAGTAAGATTCTATCACTGAAAAATAATTTTTATCTTATAGAGTAAAACCTTTTTACTATAAACATATTTTTTATCTCAATTATTAATACTAATAAACTTATCTATGAAAATTTATATATTAAATTTATTACAAATATAGAGTTTTAGACAATAAATATAATTCAAAATATTAACTATTTTATAAGTTCTTATTCTATCATATTTATATAAAATATTTGATTTTATATCAACTTTTTTTAATAGTTAAAACTTTAACTTTTTTAACTATTTTAATTATTTGCTTTTTTATTAATGAACTACAATATGTGATTTAATCAATCATCTATTTATAATATAAAATTCTATACAATTTAAATAACATTAAAATTTGCAATAAATCTATAATAATAATAATAAAATAATTTAAAAAAATTGATTAATATATACTTTGTTTTAATTATTTTAATATAATTGAAATCTGTTTATTTTTAATAAATTTTATTATTTTTTTTCTTTTAATTAATCTTTTTTATACTTAATCATTTATTAAAAAAATTCATTTTAAAATATAAAAAATATTATAATACCCTATAAGAAATTTGGATATGGAAATGATATAGAAATGATATGTTATTAATATGTTTTTAGTAATTCTGTATCATAATTTCATATATTTAATACTGAATCGATTTTTACATATTTTTTAAAATTAAAATATATGGAAATTATACAGTATTATTAAATATTTAATTTATTTAATTTGATAATCAATTACAGTTATGCAATTAATATAACTGATGATCAATTTCCAATTTTTCTTTTTGAACCATTATATTCTTTTTCTTTTTTTTAACAAAAAAAAACTTATTTTATTTAACATAATTTTTAAAAAAAAATCTTATATTTTTAAACTTAAATACTTGAACTTATAAGAATTTATTAAATATATTTTTTTTATTTGTAGATTCTAATTTTTATATTTATTTAATATTTTTTTTTATAAACATTAATACAGAGATTTATAATGAAATTTAAGCAATTTGGTCAAAGTCAATTACCTTTTATTTCTAAGTAAAAGTTATTCAGTGGGTTTGATAATATTTATATCTAATTTTTTTATATTAACATAATTAATGTTCATGTAGAAATAATTTTTTTTGTAACTTTACTAAATAAGTCACACTTTTTTAACTTCACAAGAAAATTTGAGCATTTTGGTTAAAGTAAATCACTTTTCATTTCTAAGTAAAAGTTGTTCAGCAGGTATAATACTATTTGCATAAAAATTTAAACTTGATTGAATTAATATTTGTGTTGAATATGTGTTTTTGTAACTTTATTAATAGCGTAAACTTTTTTTTTAACTTCATAGGATAATTTGAGCACTTTGGTCAAAGTTAATTACCTTTTATCTCTAAGTGAAAGTTGTTTAACAGATTCAATAATATTTATATCTAATTTTTTTATATTGACATAATTAATATTTGCATAAAAATAATTTTTTTGTAACTTTACTAAATAAGTCACACTTTTTTGACTTCACAAGAAAATTTGAGCACTTTGGTTAAAGTCAATCATTTTTTATTTCTAAGTAATAATTGTTCAGCAGGTATGATACTATTTACATATAAAATTTAATCTTAATTGGATTAATATTCGTATTGTAATATGTATTTTTATAACTTTATTAATAGCGCGAACCTTTTTTTAATTTCATAGGATAATATAATCACTTTAGTTAAAGTAAACTATTATTACGTATTAAGTAAAAATATTTTATAT